CATACACAGAAGATGAGTATAAGAGACAGACTATAAAGAACCCAGTACATCATTCAAGACGAGTAGAGGGACACCCCGGTGTACTGGAACACCCCGGTGTACTGGAACAGACAGCCCCTGTGGTGTACGACGGGAGTTGCTGGTACCGAGTTACCGGGTAGCACAGACATGAAGGGACCCTTAGGGGCGAAGGAAGTCATTGGTCGAGTTCCTAGTCCACACATCAAGCACCATGAGCATCTTGTTTGATGGATACCAACGCTATACAGATCTACACTATTATTATTTAATTAATTAATAATAGCTTTTAATTGAATTTCTGTTTTGATTTCCATATACTTACTCTATCTTTTGTTTAATAGCATAGTTCAAATGACACATGCCTTACCTTTATCTGAGGTTGTTGAAGGAGACATATTAATGTATTTTAGAATATCTTCCTTTAGAACTCTATAATCTTTTCCACTCCCCTCAATATCAGCAATGTTGATCTAAATATAAAAGTTGAAACAATGTTGGTGTTATAACCAATAAGCATTTTTAAAATTCTAAACTACCACTGATAGGATTTTGTGAGAATTTTGTTGATGATCTTACTGTATTATAACCATTTTGTTTAGTATTCATTTATTCTTTTATTCATTTTCTCTTTGTATATTTAGCTTCAATGCCCAAAACTACAATAGTAGCTTAAAAAGGTTAAACCTGCATTCACACCGAATCCGTATTTTCCGATAAGAAAGCCTACCACAGTACCGAACCAATCAGAAAATGGAATCAGTGTGTAAGAATAGGGACGCTAACATTCAGTTTAGTTAAAATTTCGTGAATGCAGCTTACACTAGAAAATTTGCAGGACAATGTTTGGTTGTGCCTGTGCATCGCAAATTAGCAGAACTTACATTGTGCTCCATGGCAAGACGCTTGACGGCTGGTGTTGCAATAACTCTCTTGCTGTATCTGTCACTAACCTGAGCTGGTGACTCAACACTGCTTCCATCACTACTAGACTCGCTCGCTTCATCCACATCAACATCTCCAGTATCTACAAAGTGGAAGAATAAAATACACTTTCAACTTACATTGCTTGAAACTGTTAAAAATGTGTGTACTGTAATATTAGTATCATTTTATCTATTATATAAAGATTTGAATAATTTAAAATGAATAATTTATCTATGAATTGCTACCCAGGGGTGGATTTTTGTGGTGGGGCAGAGGAAAAATTGGGCCCCTGAAATTGCTGATATTTTTAAAACTAGGATAAAAGAAAATTAAATTAAAATTTAAGTCTGAGAGTGCCATCCACTTAGATATGCCATACTCAACAGATGAAAATCTATTTGATAACTCCAACCGCCATAATTAATTTAATACTTCAGTCCTAAACCTTTAAAAATCTTGTAATAATGGGAATTTTTGAATGATTATTATTTATTTGAAAATTTAGTTTAGTTTTTCTGCTTACAGTAGATATGTGCACATCATTAAATGTCTCATTAAATTTTAAGCTGTGTGGTAATTCCGTAAACCTCACCAGGCAACATTTACAGGTATGCCCTTGGGTGACAGTGGATGTTGAAATACACAGACATTTAAGGTTGTTTGAACGCATACTTTATCAAATTAAGTAAAGAAAAAAATATATAAATAAATAAAATAATTAATAGAATTGAAAGTAAACAAACACATAAAAATGATGTTAAGGTTTGATGATGGTATTTACCTGGTGTGATATCTGGTTCTTGTGTGTGGCAGGCATGTGTTACATGTTGGGCTATATAGGGCCTTGCATTCAAATTTTTGAATAAAATGTGCTAGATACAGCACATAATATAATATTATTGTTAATTATCTTTATTATAGGTATACGGTAGTCATTGTCCTTATTACTGTTATAACAGACCATGAAACATATCAAATGGTCTGTTAGATGTATGTGAACCCAGATAGCAAAATTCATTTATTATTCAACACACTCTACACCGTCAGGTCTAAACAAAATGGCCTTACTCCCTGGACTAATTTCAGCATGGTTACCAACAACTACACATACACAGACACCTCTGGGCTGCCATTGTTGCCAGGATGTTATAAAAATATTACCCAATCTATGAACACATTCGTTACAACTGTTATCAATGTCAATGGCTGAGCTCAGGTTTATAGTAGATAGAAATTTAAGATGGCCAACAACCTATATTGGTCTGAATGACTCATTCTGATTATGATGATAATTACAATTATCATTATAATCCTACCTGACTGGCCAGCTATTTCAATGTCCACAAGGGCTTTGCCAACACTAGCTATATCATCCACTTCATAGTACATCTTCTTAATGACCCCATCAAAACGACTTGTTATGGTTACAGAAGCTTTGTCACTTTGTACCTCACAAATGCTGTCAAACTGAGCTACTGTGTCACCTTCCTTAACATACCTAAAAATGAAGGGGTGGGGGGAAGAAAAAAACACATTGTGATTTAAACACAAGACCTCCAACATACAGTTTCAATTTCATGTAGGGCATAAAAAAGAGTTTCCTAGACTTCTTGTGTAAATGGTAGCATTTCTTAATTAGTGCATAATACCCATTTACATCACTAATTAATAGCTCCATGGTTCAAACCATTGTTAGTGAATACATAATAAATTAATTGTTTTATTTTGTGATTACTTCGGGATTACTTTGGGATTGAGGCAAGGTCTTACCATTCTTTGATGGTAACCTCTGCAATGCCTTCTCCAATGTCAGAAAGCTTGAATGGTACCACTTCTCCAAAGCTCACTGGAAATATAAAAAAACAACATATAAACTATATGATAAATAATTTTTTTAATTGACAAGGCCTTTTTATTTTATATGCTTAAATAAAAGTGAAACGTAGAATAAAATGGCCTTGTCAATTTTTGGATTAACGTTCTTATTATTTATACTTAAAACTCAGTGCACATCCTAATAAATAATTTTAGTCTACATAATTTGTCTTCTATAAGATATGTAGCCACATGCTTAAGTGTGAATGAAGCAATCCTTGAAGAAAATGATGCAGAAGTCATCCTCTTAAAGATATATATTTAAATATATGTTCACCTTCAGGAATGAATAATATAAATTTTAAAAACATGAATGCAGACTTGTTTTTACCTTGAACACTCGAAAATGTCCCTCAGTTGGTACTTGACAGACGAATAAAAACATGGGCAACTGACGTGACACAGAAAAAGAAACAAAAACCCATTGAGGGACAGTTACTAACCATTTGAAGTGTGCAGATACCTCTTGAATAAACAATGTCTTTGAATAATACTACTTTGTGATTTCTCAAGATGGCAGCAAACACCATTTGGCCTCCCAATCCCATGAGTAGCCTGAATTAAAATAATCAACAATCAGTTAAATCACATTAAATCAAAATAAATCTTGATCAAAACAATCAATCAATCGAAGTTCAGTAACATTTTTTTTCATTTTTTCCGTTGCTATAAAGGTAATTAATAGTACAAATAGGGCAAACCTAGGAGACTATCTTAATAAAGATAGTCTACTAGGTTAGGCCTACTTGCATTCTCCTACCCACCACACGGCCCGGCGGCATTTCACTTGTTCTTCTCGTGTGAACAAGGAGGTACTGGCCTGGCGGTGACACCCGTGCTGGCCTAGCCTGGGTCTAGTGATAAATAATGGGTGCTAGATAGTAAAACAATTGGCAGATTAGTTAAATAATGTTATAATATAATACTTCAATTACCGATAATGGAAACCACACAGTAAGTACCCGTGGGGATCTTCGAATAAGTCTGTGCACTCCCAATCTAATCGTCGGACAGGTGGCAGCCATCTTGCTGTAAATGTGTCTTTTTCTAATAATATTATTTAGCGAGATATAATTTGCCTTGTGTTAAATATATTTATATACTTTTCTAATTTTTTTAAATAATTTAAACACAATTATTTAATTTTATTGAGAAAATATTATTGTATTTATTTTTATACTTTGAATATGATCTTATTTTATAATTAATTGGATGAAAATTGTAAACAGACAGCGCGAGAGTCCATGCCCACCACCTCGGTAGAGACGAAAGAACATTAGCCTATGTATAGATCTCTAGGCCTAGGAGGTTTAGAATTAGTTGATGTTGATTGGAACGCCAGTAAACTATACCAAATTGATTGAAGGTTAAACTTGAGAATGTTTTGCTAATGCTCCAAAAGATACTGGTCCGAAATATTGAGATTTTTCGAGAAATGCTAGGCCCTTGTCTTGCATGTGGCCAGTTTTTTTTTTTATGTTATCTGATTCCCGGTCGCCGATTGTGTCTATTTTATTAACTGTACCTCGACCGTTCTTCAGATGGGACACTAAGCCCATGCATGGCCTATGTGCCCATGTGCATAAAGGGACCAGTTAATTAGTTTAATAATGTTATAATATAATACTTCAGTTACCGATAATGAAAACCACACAGTTTATCTGACCAACAATATGCCTTTCTATTATTACATATTAATTAACCAAACAAATTAAGCTGCCTGTGAGTCCTGCACTCTTGGTTAAAGTCATAGGCAATTCATATTAATATGTGACAATACTGCCCTATAAAAAAGGGGCCTGAAAATAGGGCTGATCCAGACAACACCACCCTTGGCTAGGGGGTTTGGGATATTCCCCTCTGAAAATTTTTGTTTTCTAGATGTCTGAAAATAACCTCTGAGGCATTTTAGGCGATTAATCTTTTTCTTTCTTTTTTTTTTTTTAACTTTCCAAAAAGGGGCCGGGGCTGATATAGAGTACTGTTTAATACCAGCTCTCTGATATTGGAAGTTATAAAGATGGTTGAAATAGATTAACCCATACCATCAGTTCTTATTCCTTCACTCACTTCATTTTTAAGAATACAGTACTGCATTTATATAGTGCCAAGAATCACAGCTGTCACTCTAGATTTGAAAATCATTCTTTATGTTATGAACATGTGTTTTAACTGTAAGTTCTTTAATTTAACATACCTGATCAAATTGAGCAGAACTGATAAGGCTTCATTCAAACTTTTTTATTTAAGAACTGAATGCAAGTCACCATGGCAGCAGCAAGTGTTGTGATTGATGGCGCTCTTATGGAAGGTGTAAGTGCAACAATAAACTAAAACGGCAATAAATCTATTTTAATTGTTCATATAGTTTCACAGGTTTACACATAACTATTGTACCGTGATTCTTATTCTTGCTTTCCCAGGGAGGACAAATTTTGAGAATGTCAACTGCTTTCAGTTGCTTAACCAAACAACCAATCGTAATAAACAACATCAGAGCCAATAGGAGTAAACCAGGTCTACGGTATGTCAGGCTTATATTTTAATTATGTAAATTTGATGCAATTCAGTTGTCTGCAATTCCATTTTATTTTTGAATAAACCAGAATTGAATTGAAGTTAGAGAATTTATAAAATAAATTGTCACATTTCCCTCAGTTAATTAACCAAACAAATGAAGCTGCCTGTGAGTCCTGCACTCTTGGCTAAAGTCATAGGAAATTCATATTAATATGTTACAATACTGCCCTATAATTATTAGAAAATTAATTACTGATAATTCATATAATTGTCTTTTAACAGACCACAACATTTAAGTGGAATGAAGCTTATAGGGAATTTATGCAATGGAAAGTTAACAGGAGCTGAAGTGGGATCAAGCTGCATAAGTTTCAGTCCAGGTCACATAAGTAAAGGATCATATGAGGCAGATACTCATACAGCTGGGTGAGGAAAATCCAAAGTAAAGCAACTCTTTAGACAATACACCATTCACATGGCAACCCCTCCCATGGAAACTGTTTCCATAAACAACTGCTCACATGAGAACCACTCAACTGCTTACATAATGACCACTGGCATGATAAATGCTAATATGACAATCACCTGATGATAATCATCCCACAAGACAACCATTCACATAAAAACTGCTCACATTCAAATAACAAGCATTTGCATGACAACCACATACATAAAAGTGTTAGCATAGAAGGATGACAGTCAAAAACTTGCATCATCGTAAAAGCACATTAATCATTTGACGATTACAGGGCATGACATCATACTTTATTTTTGAGGTTTTATTTTATTAGGAGTACCTGTTTGCTATTACAAGTGTCTTTACCTGTGATGTTGTTTGCTGATGGTGCTGTTCATGCCACTTTCAAAGGCGGGACTAATGCAGAGTTTGCACCACAGATCGATTACAGTCTCATGGTATGGTATTATGCCTCAATTGATGGTATATATATCGATGGTATCCTGATGATGATGTTGCTAGTGGTATAGAGTACTACAGTGTTACGTCACAATACCACGTGATACTACTCCGTTGCTATCGGCGACACAAAATTTGTTCAACCGGACGCCATTTTCTCCACTGACCAACCATTGATCCCAATTTCTAACGTAATTATTAAGATGTTGTATCTTAATTTTTCTTTGTAAGTTTCAGTTGATTAAATGTGTGTTCGATAACTAATATAATGTGAGCTTTTGTGTTTTTAGTTCATTTTGATGGTAAATTATTAGGTTTTAAAATGTCTATTCCAGAAAGCCTATTCTAAACCATTAAGATTGTGAAGTCATTCTGGCGTAATGAATGGCAACCACCGTCTGGTTGACAACAAAGGGTGTTGTGACGACACAACTGTTGTACTCTATTGGTGATGGTGGGACTGATTTTGGTAGTTGGTGGTGATATTATTTGATACCAGTGTTGTGGTGTTGCTACCTAAGGAAATATTGTTGAAAGATGTTTAATACATAAATTGGTAATTTTATTGCAGCTAATGCATTGATGAAACAGCAATAAACAAAATCAATTATTTTTATAATACCCCAATAAAATAAGCCTCTGAGGTCTATCAAGTTTTCCTTGAAAATCCAATTGTACTTTAGTAGTTTTGATACTCACTTATTTTTCTTTTCGCAATTCTCTTGTGATTGTAAGATTGTAATGGTTTTCTGGAAAATATCAAATCAATAAATATTTTAATTTATTTTTTTCTCCAGGTCTGTCAACCTATTTTAGAGCGACTTGGAATAAAATTTGAGGTTGATGTTATAAAAAGGTAAACAAGTAATCTTTACAACATTTTTCAGGGGTCCAGAGTTGAAGATCTGATTCATTCTACTGTGGCTTTGGTGTTGGTGACGATGTGGTCGTTGTTGGTGGTGTTAGTAAATTCATTGCTACCACAGGTTAGCAAGTAAAGTTGGTAGAATTCAAAATGACAATATCAAGAAGAAGCATAAGTTAATGAGTAATTTTTAATAATTATTTTCATAGGGGTTATTTCCCTAAAGGTGGTGGGACAATCATAGTTTCTTGTGAGCCAGTCAAGTGCATCAAACCATTGAATCTCACTAACCCAGGTCATCTTATTGACATTTCTGGTCGCGCGTTTGTAGCTGGAGTGTTGCCAATCAAGGTAAAGTTTATTATGTTTTATCCGTGGAAATTATTCGGAAAGTTTTATTTATTTTCTTCACATCCAACAGCAAGTACACTTGGAAGGATGCTTTATAAACTAAGTCTCTTAATGAGGCTTAGGGACCAGAGTTGTTTTTAGTCGTGAGCTGTCACAGGAATTAAACCCAGGACTTGGAATTGAGGGATTTAGCGATGATCGTTTACAGGCAGTCACATGACTTAACTTGGGTATACATGAAAAACATTACAGAATTCTTAAGTTTAATTTTTAATCAATTTGATAAAGTTTACTGGGAATTATGATGATCTTTACAGCAATAAACACGGGACGGCAGCGAAAAAAATCTCCATGTAAAACACCGCTGTGTCAGTGGATTGTTTATATCCAACACCCAAGTTAGGTCACATGATGCCCATCACTAAATCCCTCTATTAGAAGGCAAGCATCTTAACCACTAAATTTTCCATACAATTCTACAATAAAAAAAACAACTTACAGTTAGTATAAGGCAATACATTATTATAAAGGTTGTTTAATGAAAATTTGTGAAATAGCAGTGTATCCCCTATAACACACTGACCTTGTGTCGATAAAAACTAAGAATGTAATATAAGTTAACTACTCCACACTTCCAAAAAGAAGTAAAATTTGACATCTCCTGTGACCACAGTGTAAATAATCCAACCGCAAATAAAACCTTTTATAACCCTTCTAAATCCTATTTAATTTTAAATCAGGTATACATATTACATCTATAAGGGATAATGATTTGGTGTTAAAAAGCTACTTCAAAAATGCTGTGATGTAAATTAAAAACCATTATCTTTATCGAAGAATATGAATGTAGTTTTCCCAAATGGAAAATTTATTTTTAACACATTGTATTTAATCAATCAACCATTTATTAACCTCTCCTAGGAGAAACCGTAAAACATGTAAAAATGAAGATATTACAATTAAAAAATCACTTTAAAAATTATAAACAGTAGTAAAATATTGGAAAAAATGGCAAACTTAACACTATTGCAAACACCAGGATTAACACAATAAACATATTTGCAGGATTTTAAAACTTGTTGACGATATGAATTATCAAAAATAATTTTGTTGCTTATTATGTAATTAATTGTACTTTTTCTATGCTCAAATTTGTATCATATTCTATGTCTTCTTACTGTATTTGTATCATATATCTATATAAATCACTATAGGTAAATATCTTATCATTACCTTAATACTGATTGTTATTTATGAAGATTCACAATGAAAGTGATATTGTTCCAAAACATTTTTCTTTAATAGGTAGCAAAGTCAAGAAGTTGATTGGTGAAATTAGCCCCACTCAAAAAAGTGAAAATGAAAGCCGAGATTTATTGTTGCAAATTCCAAATTAAGACAAAGATTTGGCGAGAAAAATTACTTTTCACAGTGGCTGACGTCATAACATTCATTCTAGCAAACTGAACTCTGACCTTTAAAATTGAGAGATAATGGTCTTTTAAAATGTATAATACCATGATAACTATATAAATCTTATTCTGTACAAAATCTCAAGATTTTGTTCATTTCAAAGAAATGTATTTATTCTATTGTTTAGTTTAAGTCACTTATTCCATTATATTTATAATAACTGTCTCTTATACACATCTAGATGTGTATAAGAGACAGGTACCATACTGTATGTATAACCAATAATAATGTATTGTTTCTATATTAAGAAAGAACCTTTCATTTTAAAAATACTGAAGTAAAAGTAAATTGTAAGTAAAAGTTAAGATTGTACTTAATGTAATGGTTTAAGAAAATACTTATATCAAAATATATTTAAAAAAGTAAATTCAGTCTGTTCCACATTGGACCTGCTTACACTAGTATTTAAATATGCTGTAGGTTCTGAGTGTCAGTATCGTCCATCAAATCATGGTACATTATGTAAAAAGTTTAGCGATGCATTTTCACATCAGATGTTTTGCCTCAGTGAAACCAGCCTTGTTATTCTTCCTGGGTACGAACTTTTGGCTAAACTTATCACACAGATTGCGTAATTTGACTAGGACAAATGCAAACCAAGCTGTTCACACTGATATCTTTTTTTTTTTTTGCAAGGGGGTGGGGGAGAATTAACTGAGTGAGTAAATATTAAATAAAAGTTATTGGTTCACTTCTTTATAACAGGAACACTCCCACAAGGAGAGGTTCAACTCATGACCTAAATGATTGGTATTTCAGGCTAAGTTCACAGTGACACCTGTTGCAGGGAAAGACACGTGCTACATGATTGAGTGTCAAGGTATTGGGCTACAGAATCAGTCAGTCGATTCATGATATATATAAGGTGAGTAGTGTTTTCAAAGTGAATACCTGAATAAAGCCTACAGACAACCAGCTATACAGGCAACCAGTTAATTAATAATAATAATAATAATAATGTAAGTCTTATATAGCACATAATACAATCAAATTGCCTTTATGCGCTTTACATAAACAAAGAGAAAAATAGGTCCCAGGCATTAATTGTGTTACCCAGTGAATTTAGTGAAATTACAGTTAAAAAAAATAATAAGGAACTTGTGGCAAGTCTAGCAATTAGCCTATAATGGTTGAATAAACAGTAACTGTTTTTTAAGCATATTTCAATGTAAATATAAAATAAAAAATGGATCTATTCTTCAACTGAAGCTGAAAAAAAAAATAATAAGGGACTAGCGGCAAGTGTAGCAATCGGTCTATAGTGGTTGAATAAACAATAACTGTTTTCCCAGCATATTTCAATGTAAATATAAAATAAAAAATTGATCTATTCGACTGAAACTTATTAAAATAATATTGCTAGACAAATACACCTTAAAAAATGGGAACCCATAGTAATCAATGCATTTTAAAGATGGGTATATTCAGATTGGCCCAGCGTTTGGCTTGGTCTGTTCTAGATGGAGTTAGACGCTGGACTGATCTGTCCTGTGTGGTTCTCTTCTTGAGTAATAAGTCATTGACACAAATGAAAATTTTTATTTATACATTAAAAAACAAAAAGTCTTCAAGGGCGGGTTTAGAAGGGGAGGAGCCGGCCCGGCCCCTGCCCCCCCCCC